GACCTGAAGAGACAAGATGGACCAGATAGACCAAGACCATGGAGACACAAAGGATTGATTTTCTGAGGGAGGATGTTTAGAAGCTGTGATGAACTGAACCGATAGATTCAAACTGTGATTGTTCTTCTTTAAAACAAGATGAGCTTTAATGTTTCCATGATCAATGTCAGTTCAACATTAACGGTCAACTTCATGAAGATAAAGCATAAAACTAGAAAGATAAATTTAAACATTATGTTGATAAATTGAGTAAGATGCAAAGAACAGTTCACGTGGAGAATACAAGAAACATAAATAAATAAATCTTCTTCTGGCCCACGGCCAGCAGGTTAGATGTTATCTAAGAGGTCTTCAGGACTCACCTTCCCTCCGACCTTCTCACAGCCCAGATCATTGAACTGCAGGAAGTTCGGCTCCGCTGCAGCCTGAGCCATCGTGCTCCTCTGGGACATGCTCAGATCTTCCTGCAGTTTCTCAGACGAGAACCGAAAGCTGCTCGTTTGAAGGAAAAGCTTCACGTCATATCTGCAGGCCAAAGTTCAGCTGGTTGTTCAAACACACCTGCAGCTAAAACTAAAACTGCAGCCACGCCAACGATTCAGCAGCTCAAACTCCTGCGGGAGGTCGGATTTATGTAAGGCCGATTTTATTCCATAACGATGTGAATAAAAACACGTTCGATTAGTTTTACACAAAATAAATAATGTGTTTGTGTGAACGCTGAGTCAACGTGAACACTCGTCCTCATTTTGTTCTTCCACGTGTCTTTACTTCTGCAGACATTGACATATTTTAGCCATTCATAAAACAAAACATTCGGCTCATTCTGGAGATAGGATATTTAGTTTTATACTTTTCAAAAGATTTAAATTTATTTACAAATATTGTCCCATGAAACACACCGAGATCTCCAGTTCCTCCAAAATCATTGTTTTCCTTCAGCTGCTGGATCTGTTTTTGTTTACTTAAGCTACTTTTATTTTTACTACTTTTAGCTAGCTTTTTGCTATTTAGCTACATTCTGCTTTCAGTTAGGCTTTAGTTAAGTATAGCTGTAAGCTATTCTATTCCTGATTTTTATTCTAATCTTTTCACTTTTAGATAACCTTTTGCTAGACGTAGCTTTTAGCTGTTGCTTTACTACTTTTAGTTTCTACGAATCATTCTGCTATTTTTAGCATTTGGCTAACCTTTTACTATATTTAGTTAGAAAATTTTTCTACGGTGAGGTTTTAGCTATTGTTCTGCTACTTTTGTCTTTTAGCTGGCCTTTCACTACCTTTAGCCAGCCTTTTTTGCTCCATGTAGCTTTTAGCTAATGTTGTGCTACTTTTAGCTTTAAGTCTGTATTCTAATAGTTCCAAATTTTAGCTAACCTGTTTTGCCAAGTTCTTTCAACAGAACAGCTTCAGACTGATCTAACCAGGTTGAGTCCGGTCCTGTGGACGGAGTCTTCTTGTTGAAACGTGTCATCTTTTATCCACAAGACTGACTAAGTATTTTAGAATTACAACTCCAGGATATACAGTAGTCCTTCCTTGAAGAACACACACACACACACACACACACACACACACACACACACA